TGCATGCTCCCCACTGGGGATTTGACCCACAACTTGAGCATGTGCCCTGACTGGGAATCGAACTGGAGACCTCTTGGTGCAGGGTCGACGCTCAACCACTGAGCCACACCAACCAGACATAAAAGTGGAATTCCTTGCCCTGGCCAGTTTGGCTCAGCGGTTAGAGCGTCGGCCTAGGGTCCAGAGAGACCGGGGTTCAGTTCCCGCTAAGGGCACCTACCTCGGTTGCATTTGTCCCCGGCCCTGGTTGGGTCGTGTGGGTGGCAACCACTCGAGGTGTCCCTTTCGCGTCGATGTTTCTTTCTCTCTCTCTCTCTTTCTCCCTCTCTCTCTCCTTCCCACTCTATCTGAACAAAAAATGGAAAAATGTCCTCGGGTAAGGGGGAAAAAAAAAAGTGGAATTTCTTAATCTTTACTTTTTTTTTTTTTTTTAATCCTTACCCGAGGATATTTTTTCATTGATTTTTTTCAGATAGAGTGGGAGGGAGGGAGGGAGGGAAGGAGGGAGGGAAACATCAATGTGAGAGAGAACTTGATTGGTTGCCTCCTGCACGACCCTGACCAAGACCAAGGATCGAACCTGAAACCGAGGTGCGTGCCCTTGACCAGGAATCAAACCCATGACTCTTCTGTCCGTGGGCCGATGCTCCAACTGCTGAGCCAAGCTGGTCAGGACTTTACGTAGTTCTTTCTATTTGCAGAGAAAGGACTCATGTCCCAGACTAATTTTATTTAAGATATTATCTTAAAAAGAAGCCTTCTTCATTTCCTAGGACTTGATGCACTCTAGATGGGGATCCGGCTGTAGGTCTGATTGTCCATTCCAGATACCTCGGCTAAACAGGTGTCCACGGTCAGCTTTTAGCACTTGGTACTCTCTTCTGTGATAGAGTTTCAGTTTAGATCACAGATTCTCTATGATTTTCTCTTCTGGCTGTAGCTGGGCTCTGAGTCAGGCTGCCTTCTAAAGAGAATAAGCAGTGTTTCAGTTCCAGATTAATACTCTGAGATCAGGGCAAGGCCCTGGCCGGTTTGGCTCAGTGGTTAGAGCGTCGGCCCGCGGACCAATGGTGGTGGTTCAGTTCCAGTCAAGGGCACGCACCTCAGTTGCAGTACGTCCCTGGCCCTGTCACGGTCATGCGGGAGGCAGCCAGTCGATGTGTCTTTCACATCGATTTTCTCTCTCTCTCTCTCTCTCCCCCTCCCACTCTATCTGAAGATAAATAGAAAAAAAATCCTCAGGTGAGGATTAAAAAAAGAAAAGAAATGACAGGCCAAGGATTGTGTATAACTTTACCTTGGTATGTGTGTGCATCTGGTTTGCCAGGCAAATATTATTTAGGGTCTTGGTGAAAAGTAAAATCTGAGTATTTCAAAGATCTACTTTCCTTATTCTCTTTCCTGTTTTCTTCTATTTGTATTGTATATCTTTGCCCTTCCCCTTCAAAGGCTTTTCTTTATGTGAAAATTCTGTGGACACCCACATTGAAGCATTATGAAAAGGCAATGCATACCCTTGAATACTGAGCACTTTAACAGATTTATTGTGAAATGTGTAGTGAGTGGGTAAGGACCATTTAAAAATATATAATGAAAGGCATAAATTGCAGAAGTACCTTACTAGGTCAAAGGGAAGGCAGTGGGTTTCAGTGGAAAGAAAAACAAGTTGGTTCCCTCAGAATGAAGACCAAAGCCCACTAATGGAGGGTGGGAAGCAAACACAGAGGGGAAACGGGAGGGCTGTCACTGTCGCTGCCCCCACATCCAGTGTGCCTGTGGGCGGGGCAGGAGCGTGCCCTCCCCACCGGCTAGTCCTGTGGGCATTGTTTTTATTTCCCAACCTCTCTTTCAGAATTCATTTCCCCCATTTAGATCTGGGAAGTAGTGAGTCTGACACAGTTTTGATCACCTGCCAAGGCCTAAGCATTCTGCTAAATAGCACATGGAATATGCCACTGTTTGGCCTGAAGAACTTTTGAGCCTCATTTGTGCAGGGACCACGTGCAGGAGGCAGTTGGAGAACAATGTGAATGGATGTCATCGAAAGGCAAAGGGTGATGGGGACAGAGCAATGTGTCCTTAGGTAATGAGAGAAGGCTTCTTAGAGGAGGTTGGGCAGGGATTGACTCCATAGCTGTTCAGGTCTGAATGTTTCGGCAGTTCTCATTCCTTCCAAAATCGTTCTGAGCATATTACTTTAGTTTCTTTTGTATGGATTATTTGTGTCTTTTGTAGTGTTTGAATTCACCTGTGCCTCGACTAGTCCATCTAAGTTGGCCAGAATGCTGGTTTCGACAATGTTAACTTGAGAGTTGTTTCCTATGAAGGAAGTAGTCTCTAGTGCTTTGACACCTGTTCACTCCTCCCTCCTCTCCCTGTGAGGAGCATGTCCCCAGCCCGCCGAAGTGAAGTGAGGCCAGGAGACTGCCGTCGACTGCTGAGGTGTGAGTGATTCACCCCAGGAGGAAGCTTTCAAAGCTCCAGCACACGCTGTGCACAGATCTTTTACTCTGGCTCCTGGACTAGCAGGGTTCAATCAAGGTTGAGGGTCATACTGTCATCTTGTCTCCCAGAGTGACTGCAGTGAGTGATGACGCTGAGTATCCCTCCAACCCAGGATGAACATGTAGCATAGCAAGATGCAGACCTTTGTGTTTAGCTACTGTGGTTTGGGGGTTATTTGTTTCCGCAGCATAACCTACCCTGTTTAGACTAAATAAACCTTCCAGATTTTGTCCTTTGGCCCTCATCCTAGTTATTCTCAATTTTTTGTTTGTTTGTTTGCTTTGTAGTAAGCTTCATCTGTTCTTGCTGCTCTATACAGTCTGACTTCGTCATTGACCCTTCTATGATTACATTCTGTAATGAAGTCTGACCTGTTGAAATCAGACCTGTCCAACATAAAGGTACATAGATCTTTCCCAGCTCCCCCAAACAGCTCCTCTTGGGTACATTGCTATCTCAGAGTAGCTGTGATCAGCATCCCATCTTCTGGGTGTAAAGAAGTGTCTCCTACAGGCACATGAGGAGGGGCTTATGAACTCTGGAAAGAGTTATGGCTCTTTGCTCAGCCCAACAGTCATTTGCTGGAGAGGCAGAGCCAGCACTACCCAGAAGAGCCCCTGCCACGATGCAGGTGTCCTGTATTTGCACAGTGCTGCTGGCTGCACGTGGCTGTTGAGCACTTGACGTGTGGCCGGTGTGCCTCAGGAACCAACTTGTATTTAATGAAACAGCACCACGTGACTGGTGGCTGCCGTGTTAGACAGTGAGACTCTAGAACGACGTTGGGATGACATAATGTTAGGTGGGAAGAGCAAAATATAAAATAGTCTTGTCCAGCTTGTGTGGCTCAGTAGTTGAGTGTTGATCCTGCACCAAGAGGTTGCTGGTTCGATTCCCGGTCAGGGCACATGCCCAGGGTATGGGCCAGATTCCCAGTGGGGGGCATGCAGGAGGCGGCCAGTCAATGTTCTCTCTCATCAATGTTTCTGTCTCTCTTTCCCTCTCACTTCCTCTCTCTCTAAAATCAATAAAGGAAAAACATTTTTATAAAAAAAAAAAATAGTACTAAGATAAAATAGTCTTATTGTACGTGTGAAATAATACAATTTTCAGTTTTATACAAAGGAAAACAACTGGTAACACCCACACCAAAACACTGACAATGCAGTGCATTAGGTTGGGGAAATGCCGTGTGAGCATCCTCCTTTCATACTGGAGGACGCTGGAGAAATTACAGCAGAAGTCTCCGCGGTGAACACGAGCAGGCAGCGGGTGCCCGAGACTGCGAGAGCGCTTCAGCAGTGAGCGCGCAGGGTGAACACAGGCACCCGCATTTCAGCCTGCGACATCCGGGGGACAGTTTGGCCAGAGGAGCCCGATTTACGATGTTTGCTGTCTGGTGCTCTGTGGTCAGTTGTGATGTCCCACAAGTGAATTGAGAAAACATTCCACAAATAATATGTATGTGCCATGTCAGAAAGAGATCATGCTTTTGAAATAATTTGTGTGTGTTTTCAGCAAACCTAAAGTATATATACAGTAGGTTACAAAAACGACGGGAAACACCATGATCTTTTTTTTTTTTTTTTATCCTCACCTAAGGACATTTTTGCATTTATCTTCAGACAGAGCGGGAGGGAGGGAGGGAGGAAGAGAGAGAGAGAGAGAGACATTGATGTGAGAGAGACACATCGATTGGTTGTCACCTGCACGATGCCATTCAGGGCTGGGGACAAACTGCGACCGAGGTACATGCCCTTAGTGAGAACCAAACCCAGACTCTCTGGTCCGCGGGCCAGTGCTGTAACCGCTGAGCCAAACTGGCCAGGGCGGAAACGCCATGATCTTTGAATTAAGTTGGCCATGTGTCTGCTCTGCTTGAGTACTGAAGAAACTGGACTACGGCGTGTGTCTCTCTCACAGTTTGGGAGACTCTGCTTGTGCACCCAGATGACTGGGATCGCTCGTGGGGCTGGATGTGAGTGATGTCCAGTACGCGTGGTTAGGAAGAGTGTGAAAGATGGCACTGGGCCCTGGCGGGTTTGCTGAGCAGTTAGAGCATCAGCAGGTTCGATTCCGGTCTAGGGCTCGTACCTAGCTGTGGTTCATCCCTGGCCCTGGTTGGGGTCGTGCAGGAGGCAGCCAGTCAATGTGTCTCATATCAATGTTTCTCTCTCTCTCCCTCTCTCTCCCTCCCTTCCTCCCTCTTACTGTATCTGAAGATAAATAGAAAAATATACTCAGGTGAGGATAAAAAAAAAAAGATGGCACTGGGTTTTTTAGAACCTTTTTACTTACATAAGGAATGAAGTTGTGGAAGGCCAGTGAGCATCTTCAAAATGACCCTCATCCCCTTCCCCCAGAAAAAACCCTTTATTATTAAATTACTCATTTGAAATTAGCGTCATTACCGCGTCTTGTCTATTTGTTGGGAAAGTACTTACTAATGGAATAACTTAGGTATTTAGATGTTTTCTTTTTTGCTTTATTGACAGATTATTTGGGACTAATGGTATCACTTTGAAAACATGTAGAAGACTAGGTAAAGAACTAAATGCTTTTACTTTTTGAATTCAGTTTGTTATTCTAGTTTCATGTTCTATCATAAACAACACAAGGCCCTGGGTGGCATGGGGTTCCCTGGCAGTGTCATGGAGAAGCGGGGCTTGACGCGTGTCCCTCTCACCCCTCCACCTTCTCTTCCAGGCTCCCATGAGTATCAAGCCCGGAGGCTGTAATTGATCCCAAGTCTGCAGAATTGCCCCAGTCTTTGGGGGGTCATTTTCATTCACCACCAGGGCTAGTTTTAATCCTAGATCCTTAAAATGGGTGGAAATTGTCCACTAGGCAGTAGGAAAAGCCCAGTGCGTGCTGAGCTGCTCTGACTGCTGCTTGGGGCAGTGGGGTGCAGCTGCAGATCCCTCTGCAGATGTGCACAGCCACCACTGGACAGCAGGGGGCGTCCTCTGGATTCGGGATCGGTCCTCTGCACTTGGCACTTGGAGTTCTTTGCAGGGTCATGTTTGAATTTGTAGTAGAGAACTAAAATGTTACTTAACATACGGTGTGACTAGAACTGGATTATTACAAATGAAGGCAGTTTTTTAAGGATAGTAAGGAAATCAGTTATTTTCTTCTAAAAGCCAATGTATTTTACATAATTACAATTCTTCACATAATCATATTTGTGAAGGAACCTGCAATATTAAGCGAATATAAAACAATTGGGGAGGGTAGTTTATAATTTGTATGACAAATTCCATTTGTACAACATTTTGTGGAATGCAAAGGTTATGAAATACATAGATGCACTTCTCATTTGCTGTTGCAGCAACCTTGTGAGTGGTTGAGAGAGGTAGGGAGAACAGGTGTGTATTATTTTATTGTACAGATGAGAAAACAAAGACTCCAAGGAGTTATGGGCACAGAGCCCAGCAATTAAGTAGCAGAGATGGGACTAAAAAAACCTAGACAGCCTGGCCGGTGTAGCTCATTGGATTGAGCGCCCTCCCGTGGACTGAGAGTCCCAGTTCAGTTCCTGCTCGGGGCATGTGCCGAGTTGCTGGCTTGATCCCCAGTAGGGGGTGTGCAAGAGGCAGCCGATCGATGTTTCTCTCTCACATTGATGTTTCTATCTCTCTCTTCCTTCCCCTCTCTCAAAAATCAATATATAAAACATATTAAAAAAACAACAACAAAAAAAACCTGGATATATGACTGCTAGACTAGTGCACTTCCAGTCTCCACCCTCCCTCCATGGATTAAAGGAGACTCAAGTAAGCCTGGGCGGCGTGGCTCAGTGGCTGAGCGTCGGCCCTGCACCAGGAGGTCGCTGGTTCGACTCCCGGTCAGGACACGTGCCAGGTTGTGGGCCAAATCCCCAGTGGGGGCATGCAGGAGGTGGCCAACTGATGTTCTCACATAGGTGTTTCTTTCTCTCTTTCCCTCTCCCTTCCTCTCTGTCTAAAATCAATAAAGAAAATTTAAAGAAGACTCAAGTGATACATAAACTTCCATGGGCATTTAATTAGCTAGCTATCTAGGTATAGATATATTTTGCATCCTTAATAAAAACCATTTAAGATTTAAAGTAAACAAATCAAAGAAATTCTAAAGTAAGTGTATTATTTATTGTGAAACTTATAAATTATCATTTATACAGCTTAGTCTTTAGGATGACGAGTTAATTTTTCATGGGAGAAAGATACTCAAGATGATTTAAAGGTCCTTTTTTCTCAATGTAAACCTTTGGAGAAGGGAATGTTGAAAAAAAAGCAAAACAAAAAACCTTTGAGTATATACAGTGGTGCTTTTTTCTTTGAAATTCTTTTTAGACAGTTTAAATAAACTAAAATGAAATTTAACTTCATGCTGACTATATTTCACATCCAGAATGAGCATAAGAGGAATAGACAGCTTGAAATGTGGGTGTTTGCCAGCCATGCTCTTGCACTTGTCAAGTGGATGTCCAATGGATTTTGCCTGTGCTTGTCAGAGCCCTGCACTATTTTGGCCACATGGTGGACCGCACCTGAAATAAGTTTTGTTTTTTTTAATCCTCACCTGAGGACATGCTTAGAGAGAGGAAGGGGCGGGGTGGGGGAGAGAAACATTGATTGGTTTCCTTCCATATGTGCCCCTGCTGAAAAATCAAACCTGAAACCCAGGTGTCAGTGCCCTGGCTTGGATTTGAACCAGCAACCTTGCAGTGCACAGGATGATGCTCAGCCAACTGAGCCACTTTGGCTGGGCTGAAATAAGTTTTTGGATTTTCTTTAATCCTCACCCGAGGATATTTTTTCATTTTTGTTCAGATAGAGTGGGAGGGAGGGAGAGAGAGAAACATCGATGTGAGAAGGACACATTGACTGGTTGCCTCCTGCAGGACCCCAACCAGGGCTGGGGACAAACTGCAACCGAGGTACATGCCCTTGACCAGAATTGAACCCAGGACTCATTGGTCCACAGGCCAGTGCTCTAACCTCTGAGCCAAACCAGCCAGGGCTGAAATAAGTTTTAATTAAACAGATAATCATGAGCCAACATACCTAGGAGTCGCTTTCTTTCAATTCAGAACTAGAAAGAGTGAGTCTCATTTGTCAAATGTTTGCTCCTGTACCAAAAGCGTGCTGCTGAGGGAGAGAACACTTAGTTATGACTCAGTTTTCTTTTTTCTTTTTTAGAGAGAGAAGAGAGGGAGAGATAGAAACATAGATGTGAGAGAGAGACATCAATCGGCTGCCTCCTGCATGCCCCTCACTGGGGATCGATCCCACAACCCGGGCATGGGCCCTGACCGGGAATCGAACTGGGACCTCAGTCCATGGGATGACGCTCAATCCACTGAGCTGCACTAGCTGGGCATGACCCAATTTTCTATACTTGGGTCATCTGCTAACAGTTTGAGGTTTCAAAGTAAGGAGGATTGGCACTCTTTAGCTCCAAGCGATTGTGGTACCTCTGTCTCAGACCCTGCAGTCAGTATCCACCTGAAGGTGCTGCACAGACGGCTGGAGGAGTCTGAAACTCCCAGACTTACCAGTGTTTTCCTTGGTCCTATGTAGTCTGTTCTACATAGAGAGTAAAAACAAATTGTAATTACTACTGACTCTAGGGATGTGGCCTATTATTTTGAAATTGTATGGAATCAACCATTGAACAAGTTATAGGAAGAGTTCTGTTAGGGGTAATAATGTAAATAAAAGTTTTAACCAGCTTTTTGAGGAGATCATGGGAGTTCAGTGTGCTTTGCTTTATTTTGCATTTGTATGCCAGTTTTTTTTTTCTCACCTACTTCTTGAATCTGTCCTAAAGAAATGGGAAATATTTTAATGACAACAGAGAGAATCCTATAGTTGGGTTGATACTATGTTTTAAAGTAAACATAATAAAAGAAAAAAACTAAAGCATTGTTTCTATAAATCATTTTTTACAGTGAACCAGGTCTGTCATGGTGTGAATTTTTAAGACCTTTGTGCATTTAAATAATGAAAAAAGCCTTATACTGAATTGTTTACAGTAAAACTAGTATTTTAGAGGTTCCATGGCAAAGACAAGTATGGGATATTTTTCTGATATCCCTGTACTCTGGATCTGATGTACATTGTTGGATTCAATTTCTTAAATTTTGTTTAAAAATTTTATATGTATTCATGAGGAATATCAATCTGTAGTTTTCTTTTCTTGTAATATCTTTATCTAGTTTTAATGTCAGGATAATGCTGGCCTCATAACATGATTTGGAAAGGATTCTCTCCTTTAGAATTTTTTGGAAGAGCTTGTACAGAATCTGTATTATGTTTTCCTTTACTATTTGGTGGAATTCAACTTTGAAGCCCTTTGGGCCTGGAGATTCTTTGTGGGAAAATTTTAAACTATAAATTCAGTTCCTTTTTTAAAAAAAATGTTTTTAATTAAAAAATTGAGGGAGGGAGAGAGAAACATTGAGGTGAGAGAGACACATGGATTGGTTGCCTCCTGCATGACCCTGACCGGACCTGGGGATTGAACCTGCAACCCAGGTACATGCCCTTGACTGGAATTGAACCCTCAACCCTTAAGTTCTTGTGCCAGTGCTCTAACTGCTGAGCCAAACCAGCCAGGGCCCAAACCATAAATTCTTTAATATGTTTGAATCTCAGGATGCCAAACAGATCTGTTAAATACTGTTCATTTCTGGGGAAATCACTTGAAGCAAGTTGACAAGTGGGTAACTCATTCAGTATAGATCAGCCAAGATGGTGAGGAGCCTGAGGCAGTGGTTCGCAGAGCTCGGTGAGAGGAGCCAAGGCAGATGGAGCTCACAGGAAGCGTACCGGACAAGAAGGAGCTGCAGAGAAACACCAGAATTGGCAAAGGCTTGCTCTCATGCGCTCAGAGCAGTGATCAGGACACACATGTGAGGCGTACCCCAGGCGCAGGAGAGGACCATCATCAAGGAGAGGAGGAGACAGGACCTGATGCTCAGCATAGCCAGGCATGGTGCCTATGTCCCACCAGCCAGACTGGAAATCCTCATAACTCAGGACCCTAGATAGAGTACTGAGAAGGGTCGTACCGTAGTAGTGATAATTGGCCCTAGACTAAACTCTGCTCTGGTCCTGCCTAACAAATCTTAAAAGCAAGATCCCAAAGGACCAAACTGTTTCCAACTTCTTTCACCATGGTTCCAAAACAAAGCTCAAGAAATTTATAGGAACACAGAAATATCAGGCATCCAAGAAGATAAAATTTACAATGTCTGGCATCCAATAAAAAATGAGCAAGCATGCAAAGAAGCAGAGTGGAAATCGCAAAAAAAATAAATTGAAACGAACCCAGAATTGACGCAAAAGTTAAATTAGCAAAGTCACCACAAGGTAGTTTCTTCCTGTACCATAATGACTTAGAACTAAAGAGTGTCCATCCTCCTTACTTTGAAACCAATGAAATAGAAAACGGAAATATAATGAAACAAAGGTGGTTCTTTTAGACAACAAACTTTACAAACCTCTAGCCAGACTGTTTAGGAAAAAACAGAGGTGAGATCACTGCAGATTCTGTAGGTATAAGAAGGAAAGTAAGGGGCACTGGCCGTTTTGTCTTGGTTGAGCTTCATCCCATGCACCAAGAGGTCGCAGGTTCGATTCCCGGTCAGGCCACATGCCCAGATTTTGGGCTCGATCCCCAGTAGGGGGCATGCTGGAGGCAGCAAATTGGTGCTTCTCTCGTTCCTCTCCCTTTCTCTCTCAAATCAATAAAAACACATTTTTAATAAGGGAAAATGAAAGGGTATTAGAAAAACTTTATACCAATAAATTAAACAACTTAGTGAAATAGATAAAGTCCTTGAAAACACAAATTACCAAAGTTCAATCAAGAAGAAATAGAATGGATAGTCTTGTGTCTATAAAAGGATCTGAACTGCCCTGGCCAGTTTGGCTCAGCAATTAGGACTTAGGCTCAAGGACCAAAAGATCTCGAGTTTGAGTCGCAGTCAAGGGTATGTACCTGGGTTGCAGGTTCGATCACTCTCTCCCTCTCTCCCACTCTGTCTAAAAATCAATGGGAAAATATCCTTAGGTGAGATTAACAACAAAAAAAAAGAATTTATGGATTTAATTTTGAGTGTCAGCTAGAAAATTTCAGCAGATGAAAATTATAGAAAGTATTTGCTTTAATTTATCTAGTTTTCACGATTCAGAAAAGATAGTGTGGGAAAGAAGACTTTAGAAAGTAAAAGAATATACATTACTAATAAATTAATCTGGTAACTTAGTTCCGTGGTGGATTTAAATATTTTTTCTTTATTTTTATTTGTTTTTCTTTATTGATTTTTAGAGAGAGAGGAAGGGAGGGGCAAGGAGAAATGGAAACATTGATGAGAGAGAACATTGATTGGCCGTTTCCTGCATGCCCTCGACTGGGGATTTGGCCCATAACCTGGGCACATGCCCTGATGGGGAATTGAACCGGCAACCACCTGGTGTGTGGATCGATGCTCAACCAGTGAGCATCGTTATTTTTCTTTATATTTAATGTATGTAAAATTTACTTTGTAATTATAGATGAAATGCAAGAAACTGAGTCTTAAATCTTTAAGGAAGATTCTGTCTTTCTGAGTTGATGCTTTTACTATTGGTGGCCCTTTTATAGTCTGCTAACTTATGCAGAAGCTGAGCCAATGAGATTTACCTATCACTGTGTTAGTTTTCATTTTCTAGTGGCATTAAGTAATCAGAACTCTACCATAAAGAATATCATGGTTTGCCCTGGCTGGTTTGGCTCAGCAGTTGGAGCATTGGCCTGTGGACCAGAGCCTTGGGTTTGGTTCCTGTAGGGGCATGTACCCCCCCACCCCACCCCCAAAAAAGAAAAATATCATGGTTTGCTCTGGCCAGGTGGCTCAATTGGTTGGAGTGTCCCGTACACCAAAAGGTTGCAGATTTGCTACCCAGTCAGAGCACATACCTTTGTTTCGGGTTCCATCCCCAGTCAAGGTGTGTACAGAAGGCAACCGATTGATGTTTCTCTCTCACATCAATGGTTTTTTTTTTTCTGTCTCCAGTTCTATCTCAAAATCAATAAAAACATATCTTCAGGTGTTAGTCAAAAAGTCAGTTATGATATATAAGAAGAAAATGACAGTGTTTGTGTTTGTTTGTTTGTTTGTTTGTTTGTTTGTTTGTTTTTAATCCTCACCTGAGGATATTTTTCCATTTATCTTCAGATAGAGTGGGAGATGGAGAGAGAGAGAACCATCGATGTGAGAGAGACACATCAACTGGTTGCCTCCCGCACGACTCCTACCAGGGCCTGGGACCGAACCACAACCAAAGTATGTGCCCTTGACTGGAATTGAACCCGCGACTCTTTGGTCCAAGGGCTAACATTTTAACCGCTAAGCCAAACTGGCCAGGACAAAAATGACATCTTTGTAACAGCATAGCCTGTTATGACTCTTAAGACAAACCCACGTTTCACTTTAATTTTTCCAAAGTAACTGATGAGCAAGTCCAGACTTTTTAGCCATACAAAATCATTGATTATTTATGGTAAAGCTTAATTTAATTTTTTACCAGTATTTCAGTGAAGCTACTATTTAGCTGCTTGTTTTCTCTAAACTTAAAAATGACTAATGATTTGTTATCGGATAAATTCTTTCAGCATTGCAGATAAACAGAGTTTTTCTAGTTTCATCTCTTGAGAGTAGAATAAACGTAAGTCCAGTGGAGCACAAGCACAGGAACATGGATTTCTGAGTTTTCCTTTCTTTTAAAAGATATTAAACTTTTAAAAGTTTAAAATGTCATTTAGCTTAAAGTGTCAAAGATTACAGGAAAAAGTCGATGCCCTAAGATACCAAAGTTATTTTAGAAAAGAGGAGCAGTTCATTTGGATTTTTTTCAAAAGATCAGTAACTCAGTTTCTATCTATATATAACATACTTTTTTCTCTCTCATTTTTGTAGGTTCTGCTGGCGACTCGCATTTGGCCTCCATGTGAAATTAAAGTAGAAAATCCCACCTACACGTGTGTTGCTGTCAGGATGCTGACTCATTGGCCACGCCTGAAGAGGGGGATTCTGTTCTAGAGCCTGTCAGAAAGATCAATGCTACCCCTCGATCCCACTCCTCTCCTTGCTGCCGGCGTGAGAATCCCCTCCAGGTACCAGCGGAGCATCAGCTAAGAAGATGCTTCACCATCTAAAGATGTCAGCAACCTAAATCCATGCACCCTGTCTGTCCAGCTGCCGTGGGTGGTCTACCATCTGAAAGCTCCCAAGCTCTCCTCCAGGCCCTGTATCTGTCTCGGAAATGTCTCTGCTTCATGCTTTGGGTCCAGTGCAGACCTGGCTGGGACAAGAGCTCGAGAAATGTGGCATTGATGCCATGATTTATACTCGGTATGTCCTCAGTCTTCTGCTGCATGACAGCTATGACTACGACCTGCAGGAACAGGTATGTACATATTTTAAACGTTGGGTGAAAATTCACGACTGTGTCTGCACGTTACTGTTTCTCTGGACAGAGCGGCTTTCATGCTCCAGAACAGGGTTCGGACTGCCGTGGTCCGCAGACTTTCCGCCTGTTGGTGGGTGGCAGCAAGCCGAGTCACAAACACACTGGTTCAGCTCTTCATGCTCAGACTTGCTCAGTGTGGACCACATTCCGGGTGGCCTCGGCCTCGGCCCGGATGGACGGCAGCCCTCTGACCATGACCTGTGCGCAGATCGGTGTCTCTGCTGCTCGGGCCTCCCTCTGCCGGGCCAGTCCTACCTCCCAACACTCCACAGTTCCGTGCCGTCTCGTCTGCAGGAGGGTGTTCAGCTGTTTGCTAATCAGAGTGTGCGTCACAGATCAGCAGGCTCAGAAGATTGGTAAAGCACGTAACTTTGCCATAAATCATTGTATTTCATCTGGTAAATCGGCCATTACAGTATTCTATTTGACTCAAGAGCAGAATTTAAAGTGAGAAAGCAGCTAAATCTAGGTTCTTGAAAAAAGAATCTCGATTTCAGTCTCAGTCTCGAAGCAGAACTACTGAGAGGTCAGCCAAAGGGGAAGTGGAGTCACCAGCAAACAAGTGGGCTCTGGGTGACTTCTGTGTACACACTGCACACAAATGGAGTGTTTCGTGGGCAGTTTTTGTTGTTGTTTTAAACCATTGTTGCTAACACTGAAAGCAGGAATGAAGTTTCCGGAGGAGCTGGCTTTGCCCTCACAAACCACAGAAGGGCCTTGGAGGCCTGTAGATGCAGAGGGCTCGCCAGTGCACTTAGCACAGAGAGGGTTTCTCCCTGCCGGGCCGCGCGTCCATCCCGGCAGACACCCTGCGTCTCGCTGCTGCCAGGTGCGGACTCTGGCCGGTGAGATTCAGGTCAAACAGTGTTTTCAGGGCATTGACTTACACCCTAATAATCAGAAATGTGTTATTTTGGTTGGTATTTTGTATAAGGATACCAAGGCTCTACTATTTTCCACTAAATGTAAATTTCACTTCTTTAGGGGCAAGTAAAATATTAAATCTATAAACGTGGAAGAAACCAAACCCGAGACTCTGGTCTGCAGGCTGACGCTGCAACTGCTGAGCCAAACCGGCCAGGGCACATGGAAGAATTTTTATTTCCAGAAATGAGAAAGCTATTTCTCCTAACTCAAAAATTATGTACTTTTACAATTGTATATTAATAATATCAGCCTAAACTATTTAATAAACACCCGTAAATTTGTTAGCACAAAGGATTTATGTGCTAAGTGCTATAGGACATTGAGATGGGCATAAAATTAGGCCTGCGCAGATTATATTTGAACGTCTCTGATGAGATAAGTCCCTCCAATCTCACACACATCTGACGCCCGTACACAGTTACTGCAACATTATTGCCTGTGTTCCCCACGCTCTACTTTATATCCCTGTGACTGTTCTGTAACTACCAATTTGTACTTCTTAATTCCTTCACCTTTTTCACCATCCCCCAGCTCCCCTCCCATCTGGCAACCATCAGAATGTTCTCTATATCTCTGACTCTGTTTCTGTTCCTTTATTTTCTTTTACATTCATTTTATAGGTATGTATTTATTGCCATTTTACTGTTTGTGTTTTTAGTATTTTTTTTCTTCTTAAAGAAGACCCTTTAACATTTCATGTAATACTAGTTTGGTGGTGATGAACTCCTTTAGCTTTTTCTTGCCTGAGAAGCTCTTTATCTGTCCTTTGATTCTAAATGATAGCTTTGCTGGGTAGAGTAATCTTGGTTGTAGGTCCTTGCTTTTCATCACTTTAAATATTTCTTGCCAATCCCTTCTGGCTTGCAAAGTTTCTGTTGAAAAATAGCAGTCTTATGCAAGCTCCCTTGTAGATAACTAACTGCTTTTCTCTCCTGCTTTTATAGTCTCTCTTTGTCTTTAAGTTTTTGCATTTTATTTATTTATTTTAAATATATTTTTAATTGGTTTTTTTTTTTTTTTTTTTTAGAGAGAGAGAGGAAGGGAGAGAGAGATAGAAACATCCATGTGAGAGAGAAACATCAATTGGTTGCCTCCTGCATGGCCCCTACTTGGGTTGAGCCCACAACCTGGGCATGTGAATTGAACTGGGACCTCTCAGTCCATGGGATGAGGCTCATCTACTGAGCTCTACCGGCCAGGCTAACCTTTTGCATTTTAATTATGATACGTCTTGGTGTGGATCTCTTTGGGCTCATCTTATTTGGGACTCTACTTCCTGGACTTGTATGTTCATTTCCTTCACCAGATTAGGGAAGTTTTCTGTCATTATTTTTTCAAATAGGTTTCAATGTCTTTCTCTCTCTCTTCTCCTTCTGGCACCCCCGTGATGTGAATGTTCGTATGCTTGAAGTTGTCTCAGAAATCTTCATTTTCTTGGATTATTTTCTTTTTGCTGTTCTAATTGGCTGCTGCTGTTGTTTTTTTGTTTGTTTCTTTTTATTCCAGATCACTTCATCTACTCTACTATCGACTCCCTATAAATTATTCTTCATTTCAGTTAGTGTATCTTTCATTTCTTCCTGTTTTTTTTTTTTATGGTTTTCATGTCTTGAGTTATGCTGTTGAATTCTTTCCAAGTTCAACTACTCTTCCCCTAAGTTCGTTGAACATCCTTAAAACCAGTGTTTTGAACTCTGCATCTAGTACGATTGCTTGTCTTCATTTTGTTTAGTTCTTTTTCTAGAGTTTTGTTTTGTTCTTTTATTTGGGTCTTATTTCTTCGTTGCCTCATTTTGCAGCCTCCCTGTGTTAGTTTCTATGTCCTGGGTGGAGCTGCTGTGTGATGACCCCCCTCCCGGGTTTGGTAGAGTGGCCTGATGTACTAGTAGGTGTCCTGTGGGGTCCAGTGGCACAGCCTCTTACCAAGCCCCCATGTGGGCTGTGCACACCCTCCTATTGTAATTGAGCTTTGATGACTGTTGCATATCAATGAGAAGGATTTACCCCAGGCAGATAGGCTGCAAGGCCTGGGTGCAACTGCTGTGGAGGAGCAGCTGTGCAGGGGCCACCCCACAGAGCAGGACTTACTTCAGCAGGGCTCCAGTGCCCACCGAGTCCACCCCTTGAGTGTGTCACTTGTGGAGGTGGTTAGGTGGTGCTTTGATGTGATCTGAAGCTGTCCACCAGGTGTGCTGGGCTGGCTCTGGGGCCTCCTTGGTGATGCAAGTCAAGGTCAGCCACCATCTGTGTTCTGCCAAGGCCACCTGACCTCAGCTACAAAGTGATATACAGATGGCTGCTCCTTGTGCTGGGCTTGGAGGTGCCCAGGCAAGGCTAAGCTTTGAACCACGGCCAGCTGCTGCTAGTGCGGGGCCTGGGGCCACTTAGTGAGAGGTACAGGGCACACTGAGGCCAGATGCTGCTTGTTTGAGAGATTGTAAGAAAGTCTAAAGTGTGAGCCAAGACAGACCATTTGTATGGAAAAGCCACTGGGAACAGCTTAGGTGGGCCTGCAAATTTGGTGGGGCAGGGCCTCAGGGAATCACCAGGGCAGGACTAACAGTGATAGCCAGATTGATGGAGACTCAGCCCTGGGCGGAGCGGGGCAGGCAGCAAAGGAACGATGGCCTCTGCCAGCACTTTTGTCTGGGAGAAAGCTGCCACTCAGCTCTTTCCTGATGCCAGACAGTTCAGTTCCTCCCATATGTCCCTGGTGCCTTTCAAGCTGCTGCCGCTCAGAGGCCGTGAGTCCAAGTAAGTTTGTATATGGGGCCCTTTAAGAGGACCTGCCTGGGACTCAGCACCCCTCTGTCTTACTCAGCTCCAATCCCCACTGGTATTGACAGCCAGAAGTTATGGGAACTTCTTTTCCCAGCACTGGAACCCTGGGCTTGGGGACCTGGTGTGGGGCTGATACCCCTCACGCCTCATGTGGGACCTCCAGAGCTGAGATATCCCTCCCAGTTTTCACCTGCCACACCTGTGTGTGGGACCAGCTGGCTCTGCATCCCTGCCCCTCTCCCCGTCTGGATGTGGCTGCTGCTCTCAGCCCTCGCTGTAGGCTTCTCTTCAGCAGGTTGCGATGGTGCCAGACGATGGCTGTTCTGAAGTTTAGTTGTGATGCTGCTGTGGTTGTGGGAGCCTGTGAGCACCGCATTTACGTGTGCCACCATCTTTACTGGAAGTCCTTTATATGTCTGTTAATGCACAAAATGTTTAAATGGTCATGAAGCCCATTTTGGCTGTTTTTTCTTTTGTTGCCTGTGCCTGTAGTGTAGTATCCAAGAAATCATTGCCGAGGCTGGTGTCATGGAGCCTTGCCCTGTGTTTCCTCCAAGAGTTTTATAATTTTAGCTTTGACACATAAATCTTCGATCCATGTTGAGTTAATTTTTGTCTATGGTATGAAGTAGAGATCCACCTTTATTCTCTTGCATGTGAACGTAAGAGTTTTCGCAGCACCGTTTGTTGAAAAGATTGTCCTTTCCGCACTGAGTGACCCTGGCAGCCTTGTTGGAAATCATGTGAGCATGTATGTGAGGCTCTGTTTCTGGGCTTTCTGTTCTGTTCCACTGGTCTGTGTCTGTCTTTGTACCAGTATCATACTAGATGACGGTACTTTGTTGCAGTTTCTTTTTTTTCCCTTTATCCTCACCGAGGACATTTTTCCATTTTTTGTTCAGATAGAGTGGCAGGGAGAAAGAGGAAGAGAGAGAGAGATAAACATCGACGTGAAAGGGACACATCGAGTGGCTGCCTCTCGCACGACCCATCCAGGGCCGGGGACAAACTGCAACTGAGGTACGGGCCCTTAGCGGGAACCGAACCCGGGTCTCTCTGGACCGCAGGCCAATGCTGAAACCGCTGAGCCAAACCAGCCAGGGCTGTTGCATTTTCTTTTAAATCCCCTAATTGTATCTTTTAGCTCAGAGTCCATCATTCTGGAAAAGTAGCTGGATTGTTATATTACCTGTTTGTCCACAGGTTAAGTAAGAGTGCTCCCTGATTGC